GTGGGTATGTAGAAATTTTAAATTGCAATAATAATTATATTATATGGTTTTCAAAATCGGACCAGACCGGATGGTCGGACCAAAAAAACTGGAACTAGTCAGGTGATTGGTTTCATTTTACCCCAAAACTGTTATTTCCCCCAAAACCATTGATTTGGCCAGTAAACCGCTGACCCGGGCAGCTAGACTGTTCGAACTGTTCAATGGTTTGGCCAGTTTTTTTAATTTTTTTAATTTTTTTGTTAGAACAGGTCGTCCATTCGGTTCAAACGGTCAAACCATTCGACCCAGGAATCGGACCCCTGACCGGTTCGCTGTCCGTGTTGATTTTAAAAACATTAGAGATATGCCCAATTTGTTTTTATTTGTTGTATTTTTATATTTTATCTTTATCTTTTTTAAATTTTTATTATTTAATTATGGTATAATTGATTAACTCATTTGACCTAAATGATTGAATTGCTTACCCACCACCACCGAATAGGAAGAAAACAGCATTTTTAGGGTAATTAATTTTTAAATATTGATTTTTATGCTATTAAAATTAATTCTATAGATTTATTAGTAGAATTTTAATGATGAAAAACAAATATACCTTATATATGGGACTTAATGAGAGGGAATTGGAAAATGGTTTCATTTCTAGTCGGCTTTAAATATTATATTCCAATTCCATCATTAACAAAAATATTTTTTATTTATCATATATGTGCCCAAAATTTTCAATATATTTTATTTATTTTTTAATTTTATTGTTTAATTATTGCCAAGGTTCAAAGTATCAATATGCCCTTGTGCATTGGCAAAGGCGTATTAGTACTAAAAACATCTGCTTTTATATTTTTTAGAGTTTTTTTCAAATTTTGGTTTTTGGATACCTTTTTATATGTATTTTGTATTAAAAAAAGAGGGAACGGGTGTTTCGGGACCCAAAAGATACTATACGACACACCCGATATGGGGCATATCGTATCAAATTTTTTATCCTTGATTATTTTATCATGGGTTGGCTCATTTGATCCAAAATGGTTAACTTCTTACCACCACCTACTCACCTAGACAAAAGTATGGTTTTGATTCCGGGTGGATCTTAGAAGTATAAATTTTTATATTCTTAAAATCATTATGAATTGATTTAATTAGTAGAATTTAGTGATGAACTTAGAGGTGGCTCGGTTGGCATGTTAGTTGGGTAGTCCCAGTAGAGACGTGGATTTGAGTCCCGCTATTACCACCAATGTTGAAAAGTTAGTGTGTTGTGTTAAATACCAAAATAAAATAAATAAAATAAAATTGAAACAAAATGATTAGGGTTGTTCAAAAACAATGCCAAACTGACCAAACTAGCCTGACCCAACCTGATTTGGTCGATTTTTCTTCACCACCAGTCGGTTTGGCATGTCTTTTTGGGAAGATCTTCTAGTAGCTCTGACCTGCAAAAGACGCATTGAGCTTGTGCGTGAAGATCTGAGCAGCCCGAAGCACGTTTGGTAGATGCACATCTTTCCATGCGTCTTTCCATGTCTTTCCACGCGAGAATAAAACGCGAAAGATGCGAAAAGCTTCATTTGAAGCTTCCCGAAATCAGCCCAAAATGGGCTTCTCACGCCTTTTCGACGCTCTGTCTTTTGGCGGTTAGATCTTCCACGAGCCAAACGGGAATAGACTGAAAATCAGTCTTCCCGACTTGTAACTAGGTAATCCCTATCTTAGTTTCTTCTTTCTAGTTAGTTACTTATTTTTAACATTAAAGAACAATAAAATATTAGTTAAATGGGAATTACTTTTGTCTTTAGGATTGTTTTCCTTTTTTGAGTAGGAAATTTTACACCAAATTAGGGTTGTTCACAAACAATGCCAAACCGACCCTTCATGTTAGGGTCGGTTTTGCTTAATGGCAGGTCGTATTCAGTTTGCCCTTTAAGTAACCCGGCCAGGTTGGGTTGGTTGAAAAAAATCTATTAAACCAACCCAACCCGACCCGTGAACAGCCCTAAAAATGATTATCTTGCAAATTTTGCATCTTAAAAAAGAATAATTCACTTTACTCACAATCTTTTTGTAGTTTCTCTTTTGCAAGGTGCCATCCAGCTAGTTGGTAAGGTCTCCTATTGGTTGTAGTGGGGACTTGGGAACAAATCCCACCTGCACCTAGGTTGGGGGGTATGGGTTAGGGGATGGGTTACCACCTGCTGTGTAGCCCTTCAAAAGAAATTAAAAAAAAAAAATAGAATTTACTGATGAAAAACAAAAATGCCTTAACTATATAATTCAATGAGAGAGAATGAGGGTTAATACCTTAAATGTGAGACTTAATGAAAGGAAATTAAATGAATTTAATAATAATATTCAAATTATACATTTTTTTCTCCTCACAATAAAGAGATACCATATTTCAAAAAGAGGGAGATTTTAATCGAGAAAAATGTTAGGAACACAAGACTCTATTCCCACTTTTTGTAGTAATATAGATATAGATATAAATATTTATTGATTAGTGTACACATTAGTGTAAAATGAAGCTTAGGAGATCAGGGCGGCAGAAGATGATGAGAACTGTTATGTGCTGATTTACATATCAACGCAAAGACTTTGCAAATATGTCAACATCACAGAAGTTACATCAAATGCGTTCATAAATTCTAACACAAGCAAAAGAAATCTGGATGAATGTCAACATCCAATAAGATTCTGCCTTGCTGCTTGGATTATGTTGAGGCTCAATGGCTTCACGTATTCCCCACTCCACTACCACCAATTAATTGACAAGCACAAGGTTCAAAATATTGATACCATATGCTGATATGTGGTAGAGGCATATCGAACGGTATGAATAGTTATTTTTTTAGTTTTTTTTTATTTTTAATCTGATTTAGAGGGATTGGTTTAAGGTCTGTTCACCCTTTGGACTAATTAAAATCCTAAAACACCCCTTGCAAGGACGTATTGAGAAATCCCCGATACAGCCTGATATGTATTAAAATTTCGAACCTTGAAGCACAAGAACCCTTGATCTGTGGCAAAACAAAGCTTTATTTTCATGCATTTCTTTAAACCACTAATCTCAAAATTTGAAAGAGAACACCATAGGTTGGAAAAATGTCAAACATATGTTGGAGGAGTAATGGAAAAGTAAGGAATTCCGCATCTGTTTTACTTATTCCTGCTCGGCCAAATTGTTACACTTTGAAATATGAGAGATTTTATTTAAAAGATTTGACAGGGGAAATTGGGAGTTTGGTTCACTAAACTATATGACATTGGCATCCATGAATAAAAAAAATTGGTGTGGTAACAATTGGAGAGAATATGTATAAATAAATGTTGAAGTTGGAAAAAATTTAGTTAGATGAATTCTAGGCATTCCTATTTAGTGGTCTTTTATAAGTAGTAAAGACTTTATCAAGGCAAGAAGGCATGCAATTCTCTGAGGTTAATATTATGCCAAAAGTCCAAGTTGAGAGTTGAGACACAAGTTAAAAGTACAGTAGATTCTAGAAAAACAAAAACTAAAGCACAAAGCCAAAGACAACTGAGCAATTACACATATAGGGTTCGTTTGGTTCATTGGTATAGGGGTCTGGAATTGGAATCAGAATGATCCAATTCCCATTCCCGGTAGAATGACATTCCCCCATTTGAGAGAATGGCCACTCTCCCCCC